AACTCTCATCTACAAATCTCCAATCCCAACTCAGAATCCTGGCAAAAAATCAAAAATCAATTACAAAATATTACTTCACTAGAACTTTTTACTGATGTTTCTATACAAAAAATATACTCCTCCAATATTATCTTTGGATCTATCTGGACAAACTGACTGTTAATAATCTCTTTTTAACACTCTTTATTATTCTGTACTTTTATTACTGAATTTGAAATCTATACTCTTACAGAATTTTTTTCTCACAATAATTATTATACCATTCTTTCTGACTCACAAGTAATAATACAAGATTACTATTACAATATTACCAATCACCATCTTTATTCCTTATAAAAGTTATTTTAATATTTCAACTAGTACTTATGACTTATTATATATCATAATATTACCTCAAAAAATCTATATTTCATACTAGAAAAAATCAAAGAACATTCTAATATTCCTAGCAATGATCTTATTGATTAACTAGTCAAAGAAGCATGCTCTCACTCTCTACTCAATATTAACTTCAAAACAATTCCAAATCTGAAATTTTACTTTGTGTTCAATAACCAACTCAATATCACATTCAATTTGCATCATATTTTAAAGCTTCAAGTAATACAGAATACATATTAAAATGACAAAACCAAATTGAACTTTACTTTGCACTTAAAGCTAGATTCAGATTTATAGTAAACTGGAAAGTAACATATACAATATGATATTAGGATCTTGACATCAATTCATTAATTGCAAATGAATAATTATCCAATACTCACATCTTTTTTATCAAAGTCATCCACAACCTGCTTCTTATATTAAATAATCTAAAAAAATACAAATCAAACCTATACTTATCAGATATATGCAATCACTGCTTACTATACACAGAAATAAATAATCATATTTGGACTTGCATCAAATCTGAATTTTTCTGACTTCTTATTTTTGAAAAAAGCAAAAAATAACTACAAAAACTTTTAACAAAAACTTGTTTTATCAACAATCTCACTCTTTTCTTTCACATCATAACTATTATAAAAAACTTTATTAACTCTGTTCGCTTTATTAATTATTTTATTTACAATCCTCATAGTGTTACTGCTTTATCAGAATTTATTAAAATCTTCAAAGGACTTGTTTTCCAAGTACTTATAACTTTTTTCAATGCTCAAAATATTTCTTATAAACATGCTACTCATTTATCCTCTTTTTTTATTATATGATTTATAAAAAAGGAAGAAAACTTATTTGAAATCACTGATGCATCATCAAAATCTTTATTGACAAATCATTATTTATTACCACAAGACAAAAAAATCTATTAAAAAAAATCTGAATGTTCTTCTGGATCATTTTCTCACATTTCATATAATACTCTTATCAAATTGCATACAAATCCTATCTATGCAAATGCAAGCTTCACATTAACTCATTTTTCACAAATTCATGTTCCAAAGAGGATCTTATAAAACTTTGCACTAACAGAACTCTAACTAAATATATCACTTTACAAACTTATATAAATCATCTTATTCTATCTACCAGCTTATTATAGTTTTGAACAAGCTCCAGTAACTAGTTATATTATAATCTTTTTATGAATCTTTGATGATTTACTTTGTTGTTAAATTTATATATGTAAATTAAATTAATAAGCAAAATGTACAAGATTATACTATAGCACAATTAAATAATAATAATTTAGTTTTTCTTTTTCATTTTCAAAGAATTTTTAATCTAATTCTAATTTTATTTTGTATAAGTTTCATTTATTTATAAAGAATTTTTTTGTTTAAATAAGTTTTGATAATATAAAATTATTTTTTTTTATAAAAAATTCTTTGTCTAAGTTAATTCTAACAATGTAAAGTTATTTTTTATAAAAAGAGCACCAAACTCTGTTATTGTTTTATAAATTTATATATTATTTATATATTTTTATTAACTAAAAAATGTAAAATATTAAAAATTATGATAAAAAAGACTAAGAATTATATCTAAAAATAAATAATATGTGTTTATATTATAATAAACTAGAATAATATTCAATAATTTCACTAACTTTAATATATTTTATTTTAGAATTTCAAAATTATATTACAAGCTAATAAGTCTTTTAAATAATTTTTAAGTTAATAGCAAATAGTTTATTATAAATAATCTATTTTTTAAGACCAAAACTAATACAAAATATAAGTTAAAATACTTTACAAATTATTTCTGAAGTTCTTGTTTTAAAACTAAAAATCTATTGAAAAGAAATTTAAAATCTAAAAAATTTATTTAATTTTATCTAAAATATATATTATTTATAATAATTATTTGTAATATTCATATTATTAATTTGTAAATTAATTTTGTTAATATTATTAATTTTATAGATTAATTTCATTAATAACATTAATCTTATATATCAATTAATTATGAGTATTATCAGTATTACTTAATAATTTATTAGCATATTTATTTTTTATTTCTATTACTTTTCTAATACTTTTTAATATTAAATTAATTAACTTTTTGCAATAATTAATTTTAATACTTTTTCAAATTATTTGTAACTTTTTTTACAACTTATTTTTACTTAAAAGTGAATCAAAAAGACTATATATACAGTCAAATATCTCTATAATTATATCTATTTATAGTTATACTCCTTTATAATCACCTTAATTTGCTTTCCTATTTATATATAAATATAGTAAAAAATCTTTTTATAATCACATTCTCTCTATAGTCACCAAATTTTGCTTTTCTAAAAGTGATGACTATAGAGAGATTTGACTGTATATCAATATTATTTATAAGTTTTCAATAAAATTTAAAAATCTTTTTCACTTAATTCTTGTAAATAAATCTTTTCTTCTTAATAAGTATTATTAAATAGTATTTCTTTTATAATGATTTAAATGAATGTAAAAATGACCAGGTTTTGATTTGTCTTCAACATTTCTGGTTTCTTTTTATTTTTGCAAATGTGTTGAACTGAAACTAATCCCATTTCTTTAGATAATGTTATTTCTTATATTATATATTCTTCTTGTCAAAGAATATATACAGTCAAACCTCTCTATAGTCATCATCCTTAGGAAAGCAAAATTTGGTAACTATAGAGGAGATGTGACTATAAAGAGATTTTTTTACTATGTTTATATATAAATGGGAAAGCAAAATAGGATGACTATAGAGGGGTGTAACTATAAACAGGTGTGACTATAGAGAGATTTGACTGTATGTGAATGCATTTTTCTAATGAGATGTGAGACATTTTAAAATAAAAAAATGATTAAATTGTTGTTTATAAATAGTAAATAATATTTTATGAAAATTAAAAGTTGAAAAAGAGCGCTTCTTTATGAGTTTCTGTTTTCCATCCAAGTCAATCATATTAAATGGGACATAAAAAAATTATTTGTCTTGAAGCAATAGATTGATAAAAATAAAAATTGCATCAAGTGATAATAACTATTTTAACGAATAAAATTAGGTAGATTTTATTTGTTCACGATTCTTCAATGGCGAGATATTCGAATCTCGCCATTTTTTTTTCGGTGTTCCGTAACATTAGTGAGTCACTGTATATACTTTTTTGTCTGGACTGGGATTAGTGAATCGTGAGATATCATGTCCCAAAGTTAACTAACTTGTGATTTTCCGGAGGATTTTTGCATTATTAAGTTATAAGTTAATAACCTTGAGGTTAAATTAAGGTTTAAATTTTTTACAGAGGGGGATACTATAGAGAGAGTATTTTACGGTAATTTTTTTTGGTATAGTTGACTATTTATAGTAAAATTTGTGTTAGAGTTTCATACTTTATTATAAAGTGAAATTGAGTATAAACATGATTTATTATACACGTACGTATATCGATATAGAGTTCAATATCGACTCGGCGCATTGTTAGCGTTAGGTCATTTAACACAGGGGAATGACTTTTTTTATGTTTTAAAACTCTAAAATCTGCAATATCATAATTGTAATGTAAAAATTAGAAATCATTTTATAGAAAATTCCATAATGATAAGTAAATCAAGATTTATTTGTTTACAGTGACTGGATCTTCGTAATAAACAAATTTTTTTATAACGATAATTATTCACAATGTTGCAAAGATATTCCGCAATTAAAGTAACTACATGTATTAATTTCGGATCTATCAATTATGACCGAATCTATGCAATTTTTTAAAATAAGCTTATATCGATATTTCATAGCGAATCGAGTATCTATCTATTTATAAGCTTATTGAAAAGACTCCAAATGTCTTCTATAATAGAAGTAACCCCTTGAGACCTGGGTATCTACAAATAGCCTGATTCTTGTAGAAACATTTGATCTTTGGCGTTTCTCTGTCTAGACCAATTTTTATTAATATTTTCTTTTTGATGCAGAAATCCAAACCCATTTTAAGACTGGCTGGGTTAGAGTAAGTAATTGTTAATATAATATTTATAAATAATTTTCGTCACCGAATTTTTTTAAAAATGTGACTTTTAAAATAACACACAAATTTAAATACAATATTTGGGTAAGTTATTTGATCAAAAACTACCCCGATTAAATATGAGACAAATCCAACAAGTTTGGTTCGAACCGCTGGTTGTTGAGAAAATATATCAAGGGTTTGCTTGTGGGCTCGCTTATAATCGGAACTTTACAGCAAGAATTGGTAATATTCGGCCGGCGCAAATACAACAAGAGTTTATTTATTTCAACAACATTAATAAAAGAAATCTACAAATACAGTTAGACCATCGTTTAATATAACGATAGTGAAAAATTGAATTCCTCTAAATAAAATTAAAAACAAGAAATTAATCGTTTTATTAAAATTTCAATTGTTTTCAATTGTTTCTTCTTTAGTAATAATTAAAAGCTATTTATTGCATCAAAGCATAAACGAAGTGTATATTCACACGGAACGTTCGAATTTAAATAAAAGCAACACACTTCCACTTCCTCTCTAGTAAAAAACGCATTCCTGAACATTTTTTTAATGTCTAGTATTTATGACTAGAATATGGCCACCGTACACTCCTTTCCCCTTTGCCCACCATCTCGACGTGGTTAGTCAGCTTTATTCATCACAACATTTTCTTAAATTGAATGGTGTTTTGCGTTTTCACATATAAAAAATCTCGTTTGTTCCACATTTTACATATATAAATTTCGTGATCAATTTTATATCCAATTCTAGTCGAAGGATATTGTATACAATAGCTGCTTTTTAAACTATCTATACTTGTTTTTTGTCAGAAAACCATGTTTTCATTAACGTAAAGTTATGATACTTTTAGTTTGCTTTCAAATCCTGATAACAACATTGATGGCCCAATAGAGTAAGTACAGTAAAATGTATTTTTCTTTGATTTAAAATATCTAACGTGAATTCATTTTAGGCGCTGTTTCCACAACTTTCTCAAAAAGTTAAGAACTCAAGTCGCAGGAGCAATTTTATATCAATGACAACTCGTTTAAAATTTTCTATCAACGATTACTCTTATATCAACGACAACTCTTAAAAGCAGTTACTCTTTTTTAAAATTACTCGTGTGTGTATTAACTTGTGTATTACACTTATGTTTTCCCTATATAACTTTTTATATATTCTTTCTTTTACCCAGTCTTCTCCATTTTAAATATGCATTTTATAATATATGTCTCAACATCTTCTAATACCGCCAAAAAAAACTTCGTTTTGATACCCGCCTTTTTTTGCTGAATCCCTACTAATTAATTAATTCTCACAATTGTTTTATATTAATGGTGCGAAAGTCAATTGCTAGTTTTTGTCTTATGAAAATCTTTATTTTTGAATTTTATATCTTGCGTGCTTAAAGAATAAAATTATTCGCTAAAGTATAAAAATTTGTGTTCATGTATAACGATAATACATGTACATGTATTAATTTATTTTGACATGTGGTTTGACAGATAACTTAAAATATTACACAAAAATCACTTGGCAATGAACAGAATAATACATAACGATAAAACGCATGCGCTTAGCTAAGTAATTTGGAGAAAGAAATTTTGTTCTTTTAGTGTATCTTCCAAATTCCCGTATTATTTGCATGTGAATTAGCCTGTGGTATGTGCTGAAATGTTCGTTCTCGCCATTTTGCATCATCCAATGCGTAATTCTTGTTTAACTTTTTTTGTAGGGTTGTAGTGTCATAAAGGATGTCTAACGCTAAAATTAAATGTTATTTGCATCAAAGCACGAATTACAAAATTTTCCTTTGTAAGCCGATATAACGAGCGCTTTGTTCTCCATATACAACGTTCTCGTAATGTTATACATAGTCAACCCTGTTAAACCAAGTCACTAATTAAATCCTGGGACAGTAAACCCGTTTCGATAAACTGAATTGTTTAAAATTTTATGACCACTTCGGTTTAACAGGTCGACTATATTTATGGCTCCGAAGAATTATCCATTATATAGGTCGAATTCGATCGCATTAAATTACCTATAAATCAGTCTTCCAAAAGCATTATTACTACTGAATTTAAAATGTCAGTTCTCTTCGAAAACTATTAGATGATTTTGTATAAATATTATTTCAGTTATTGAAAAGGAATAACATATGGAATAATTAATGAAAATATCATAGCATACACACCCCTACAATAAATTACCGGAAATCTAAAAAAGTATAGTAAAATATAGTAAAAATTGAAATTATCTCTCTATAATGAAATTTTATTTTTATTAATAAGAATTTTTTGTTTTTATACCAAAATAAAGCTAAGAATCTGTATTTTAACATATATTTTTTATAGATTTTTTAAATTTAATTTCAAGAATATTCCGGATTGTAAAGTTGATTACATAAACTTTTTATAATTAAAATTTGTAGATTTGAATTTTTAATTATAAAAAGTTTGTGTAATCAACTTTATAATCTGAAATATTTTTGAAATTAAATTTAAAACTCTATAAAAAATATATGTTAAAATACAGATTCTTAGCTTTATTTTGGTATAAAACAAAAAATTCTTATTAATAAAAATAAAAATTTCATTAGAGAAATAACATATATTATCAAGTTATTATAGAGATAACCCTCTCCCTCCAGGTGAGATTTTTATTATATTTTAATCAGCTAATTATTTTTGATCACGTGAAAGATGAGATTTTTGAGATTCTTCCTTCACTCTCTAATAATTATATAATATATATCATTTTTCTTATAGAGATAATTTTAATTTTTACTATATTTTATTATATTTTTTTTAAAATTTCCAGTAGTTTATTGTAAAAATGTGTATATAAAAAAATACAAATATAAGAAATATATAAAATATTATATATATATATATATATTTACTTTTTCAGATTATTTCTTTATTTTCTTGAAATTATAAATTTTATATTAAGTAATTATTATTTTATTTATTAATCAATAATATAATAATATTATTATATTAATTTTCAAAAATTCATTAATTAAAGAATCTTTTAAAAATAGTAGATAATATAAAAATCTTTAAAAATAGTAAAAAAATATCAAAATAATAAAAATAGTTTTTATTTTTATTTATTTATTTATTTAAATATTTAAATATTTGTTTATTTATTTATTTTATATTATTATTTAAAAAATACTTTTTTATTACAATTAGTAAAAATAATATAATTATATTATTTATACTTGGTTTAGATTATTTTCTTAGCTATATATTATAAATTATAAAATCTGATATATATTAAAATATTATAATTAATATATTTTAATATATAGAAGATATATAGTCAAATTTTTTTATAGTTATTATTTTTGGAAAAAGCAAAATTTGGTAACTATAAAGATAATGTAACTATAAAGAGATTTTTTTACTATATTTATGTATAAATAGAAAAACAAAATAAAATAATTATAAAAGAATGTAACTATAAATGAATATAATTATAGAGAAATTTAACTATATATATCATGTTTAAATAAATATTGTAATCCATGAAGCTTAATTATAAAAAGTATTATAAATTAAGTTATAATATGTATATTATAACTAAAATACAAAATAAATCAAACTAAGTCTGAAAATTTATGAGCTGAATTAAGTTTGAACCAAATTCATATTTTTAAATTTGTTATTAAATGATTTTGAACTTAAATTAAACTTACTAAAAAAACTGAATTAAATTTGAATTTGTAAATAAATTTAACAGGGTCTAATAATTTAGTAAAATTCTAATATGTTAACCAATAGCAAAATAGCATAAAATATTAAAAATATTTTATATTGATATACCAATTAATCAAATTTATATTAGATATTATAGTAAAAATTAGTAATACAAATTTTTATTAATACTAATTCAATTTTTTAAATACTAATTTTTATTAGTAAATATTAATATAATATATTACTAATTTTTATTAATCTATTTTAATAGTATGTATTTAATTTATATATACTTTTATATTTTATATTAATTAATTAAATTATATAATATATAAGAATAATAATCAAAAAAGAAGTATTTATTTAGAATTTTTTGTAAATAATCTATCTTGAATTTTATAATTATACTTTATAATACTTTATGAATATTACTATATAAATAATAATTAAACTAGATAATATATTAGTTATAAATATTAAATAAGTACAGATATTAATTAATATCAGAATTAAAATAATTAGAAAAATATGTGATAATTAATAAATTTTTTTTGGTAAAAATTTAATATAATAAAAAATTTATTTTCATAAGAAAAATCAAGAATTATATTAAATATATAAATTATAATCAAATTTTTTTATAATCATATATATTTATAGTTATATTTTTTTAAAATTATATTATTTATATATAAACTTAGTAAAAAAATTTTTTTATAGTTATATTTTTTCTATAATCATCAAATTTTGCTTTTCTAAGAATAATAATTATAAAGAGATTTGATTATATATTATTTAAAATATGTTTATATTATTGAAAAATTATATAAAATAAAATTAATATTATTGTGATATGAATTTTAATATATCACATGATTTATTATAGTTTATTCTGATTGGATAATTAATTTACATGTGATTTATAAATTATATTCATATTATTTGTATTTTACTCATACTATTTTAATATATTTTATACTATTTCATTTTTATTTCATTTTACTTTAATTATAATTTATACTAATTATATTTAATTCATATTATTATTATTAGTATGAAAAATATTAATTAATTTATATAACCTAATTTAATTAATATTAATAATAAAATATATATAATATTAGAGTAAGTAATATATAATCATCAAGTAAATAAGCACTTTTTGTAATCATAATATTAATTAAAAATAATTTTAAACTTTAAAAATTGAGTAATAATAATCTATATAAATATAATATATATCTTAACTTAGAAAAATAATTTTTTATCAATTTAATAAATTTGATAATTGGTCTTTTTATTATAATTTTCTTTTGACAAAATCTTCTTAGAAGCGAGTTATATTATAAGTCTTAAGTTGAAAATTTCCAGTCAATCATTAATTACTCTTTTACTTTTTTATTTATATTCTTTTATTTTTAAAAATCTCTTGTCTATAACAAGCAATATTTTCTATTTAATATAATTAATTTTTTATTATTATTCTATAAAGTTAATTAATATTATCTAGAAATTTAATAAAAGAGAAGATATTCTTATTAAAAATTAATCAATAAAAGAAAATTACTTAATAATAAATTATTTGAATTAAAGAAGATTTCTGAACTCACTCTAGTTATTCAACAAAATAAACACACTTCATTATCTACTTTTAGTAAATTAATTTCTTTAAATACTTAAAACACATAAAAATTTTTAGTTAAATATAATAACTTTTCTACTTAATCAAAATATATGAAAATATATAATCTATATTTGAAAGATTATAAAATCAACTAAAACAATAACAAATTTTTGATATTTCCTTTATGAAAAAGAAATCTTTAAAGATATTAAACTATTAAAAAAGAAATCTTTAAATTATATTAACAAAATAATATTCTAAAAAGAAAAGAAGAAATTGATTTAACAAAATTTAATAAATTAATTATACCAAACTAAATTCAACAAAATTCGCTATTACTGAAGTAAATTACCTTTTTAAAGAATTAAGAGACAAAATAAATTAAAAAAAGTTTTATTAAACAACAACTTTGAGAAATAAGAAAAAACTTTTATTATTATTTGAAAAGATTTATACTAAAAAACCTATAGTAGAAACAACAAACTAATTAGTTGAATTATTAAGAAAATACTTATAATATAGTAAAAAAGAAATTCAAATATATATATAACTTACAATAAAATATTACAAATTTTGTTCTACAAAGAATAACTTTTAGATAACAAAAACAACTTCAAAAACAATTACTAGTATTACAAAATTCAGAAAATCAAATTGTAATTCAAAGTAAAGAAATAATTAAAGAAGAATCCCAATCACAACAATAATTAATTCTAATTCAAATTCCAAACTACTTTAATTCAGAAAATAATTTTATATCAA